CCTGAAACATTTTAAGAACTTTTTCAATATTAAGTTTATTGATTGTAATCTATAGTTTCTGAGGATAAAACATTTCCGACGTCCTGAAATATTTTAAGAACTTCTTCATTATTAAGTTGATACTAACGTCGTTATAATGTTTTCAGACGTCCTGAAACATTTAAAAATTTTTTTCAGTATTAAGTTTATTGATTGTAATCTGTAGTTTCTGAGAATAAAATATTTCCGACTACCTGAAATATTTTAAAAACTTCTGCAGTATTAAGTTGATACTGACGTCGTTGAAATGTTTCCAGACGTCTTGAAAAATTTTAAGAACATTTTCAGTATTAATTTAATTGATTGTAATCTAAAGTTTCTGAGGATAAAATATTTCCGACGTCTTGAAGTATTTTAAGAACTTCTGCAGTATTAAGTTGATATTGACGTCGTTGAAATGTTTCCAGAAGTCCTGAAACATTTGAAGAACTTCTTCAGTATTAAGTGGATTGATTATATCAATCAACTCCAATGAAAATTAAACTAATTTATTCCATTTATATAGTGAACAAATTTATATCTTTGCTTTCATATACCTATGTGTACATAAATGTATTTCTATGTGTATATGTATATGTATGTTCGTTTTTGTGGTATTTTAGGAATTTTCCAGTAATGTTACATCATTTGACCAATGCTCATCTTTCTTATGCGAAAACAAAAATAATTTACCGAATTCACGGTAAAAGGCAAGCATTTATCTTAATTATTTGTTGTTCGGTATTGTGTTTTTCGCAGAACTCGTGTACAACAAAACGGAGACAAATAATTTTCTAAGTATTCCAAACCTGCTACCGCGGTTCCAAATCAATCAACATATCACCAGTGACTGGCTGCAGTTTGCGTTCCATGGCTAAAAAATGAATGCAACAAATTCTCTTGCGATTATTCCATGCAAAAAGCAATAAGGGGGAATGTGAAGATGAGATGCTGAACGCATTTACACGATAATAATTCATTAACACTTTTGTATATTTTGTATATTTCTGTAGCTGTTAATTTCATGTAAAACATACACAAATTATAATGGTTTTCTTTTCAACACTTGTACAAGAAGTTTTCTTGTAGATAAATTTGAGCGCTTATTCCGAAGAATAAAAATAAATAACGTCTAAGATTAATATATCTGGAAATATGCAATTTGCAAGTGAGTGAAGAAATTTTTAACAATATTAACAACAAGTTGAAGGGCAAGAAAAATTATAGTCACATTAAATTGAAAATATTAACAAATATTTATGATATACAATATCTACAGATAAATATATGTGCAGACAAATAAAAATATGTGCAATTAAAAAAAAAAAAATTTAATATTTGAAAAAGGCATTATCATTATTATTCAGTTTTGTTTTTTTCCGTTTTAAGAATCGATTAAATTGATATAAATTCTCAGTAGTATATTATAAAAATTATTTCGTATATAAAACAATAATTTTTAAGAACTAATTCCTTTCACCATAAACAGATTACAAGTTCACACTTAAGAGCACATAAATTTTAATTCAGGAATCTTTAAATTTATGTACACACAAATTTATGAAGGCACAGAACACACATTTTTGTATATGTAACCTAAATGCTAATGAATCTAAAACACCCAAAAGTCAAAAATCGTGTGGGGAGCACACGGTTAGAGACATAACTCACCCCATAGGATTTAAAGAGTGAAGATTTAATGTGGGAATTTTTTACATATAGAGTCGAAAGTCCAAAGAGTCTAAAGAGTCCAAAGAGATTCGATAGATAAATGGATTGAACAAATTGGGTAGATTGAAGTAGGTTGTATGATATTAAACACTAAATCCTTTAAATGGTATAAAAACAATGAAAAATGGAATAAATATATATGTACGAGCGCAATTCAATAACTTGAAAACTATACACAAGTATTTAATAGTCGAAAAATTTGCTAAACCAATAGAAAATAAATATATTGGTTAGATAGATTGGACAAATGGGATAGATTGGAGTTGATTGTTTGATATTAGAGACTAAAACCAATAAATGTTATAGAGATAATAAAAAATGGAATAAGAAAATATACACGAGAGCAAAACAATAACTTAAAAAATGTACAGGAGTATCAAAGAGTCGAAAGGGTTGTTCTATCAATAGAAAAAAAACACTGTTACTGGCACACCTACACTGTTAGCCAAGGAGGACTTGAGTCAATGCAACAAATGAACTGATGAACTATATGCCTACTAATATAACAGTAAAATAAACTTTTTTTTTGAATTAATTGATCAATAGCATTGGATCAATAATAGTGTACAATAGAAACTGCTGTGATCAAATGAGACTTCATCATAAGCCAGTGGTTCCCGACTTTTTTTTGACCAAAGACCACTATGCTATTTTTGTTTTTAGTAGAGACCACAAAGTTTAAGAATAATATATATATATATAAAGATTTAGATGTATAGATATTTAGATATATATAGGTTTAAATATATATATAATATTTTGTGCTTATTTTCTAATAAGTGAAGTCTTAATGGACAAACTACAACCTGTTCAATTTGATTTACGGACCATTTTTAACCACCTCGCGGACCATCGGTTGGGAACCACTCTCCTAAACTGCTACTCAAAGGATAGCATCTAATAACTTATACCCATGTAACTTACAAAAAAAATTCTAACACAAAATTGACTTAAATGTATTAATATTGTAATGGTCATAAAACAAAAAAAAACCAAAAAAGGGAAACTAAATTATATAGTTAATATGTTACTTATGTTTTAAGGGCCCCATATGTCTCCCTTTGCTATGTCTATGCATAGACTGCTTCTTTATTTTATTTTGTATAAATAAGTAAAGATAAAATGTGTAACTAAATTAAAGTTCTAGTTTTTAAATATTTTTTCGTTTCTTATTTCGACTTAATTTATATTCGAATCATTTAGAGAAATTTATGGGTTAAGTGGGTGCTAACTAATAACGAATTTATCACAAACAGTAATTTCTCTACCTTTATGCTACTTGTTTAGGGGTCTGTATAATTTTATAGAGACCCATTTTCATATTTATGAAAAATATTATATTAAAAGAAATAAATCAAACTAAAGTCAATCAGTGGTCTCTTTTTACTTCAAATGAGAATTTCAGATTTTTGTGAATACCAGATATTCTTTTAAAGATTGCCATGATTATAGATTGGTTGTTTCATTCAATAGTCAGTTTAAAAATGATATTGAGAAAAAATAGATACGATCAAAGACTTTCCTTTCATTCGTATTTATCAAACAAGAGATAACGAAGATGGTTTACACCTGGCCTATTTAGACCAGATATAATTACGGGTCAATACAAATCATTGTATATGTATATTGGAGTTCGTACTTTCTTAATTTTTTCCGAGACAAATAATAATACGAAAATTAAAAGTAAAAATAATATTCAGTTTTATTATTTTTATTTAAATATTATACACGATTCTGTATTTAGTCTATTTTTGAAGAATAGATATTTGATTAACTTTTATCGATATATTTTTTATCCAGATATTGTACTCTTTTCTGTTTTATTTTCATGCGTCATCAAATAAATGTTTGAAAGATGAAAGAATATTTATTCAGAATTGTGTGATATTTCTTTAGCTATTATTTACAGATCTTAATTCCATTGGTTTTTTATTTTTTTTATTTTTGGTATTTACCCGTATATCGAACTTTTGTATCATTGTTATTAAGGTATTAATAACGTCATCAATAAAAAGAGTAATTACATTAAAAAACAAATATATGTTTATAATATAACTGACTTATATATTATAATATGTTAATACAGTCATGACTCGTTATATGAGAATATTGATTACAGTATCTACTGGTAATTAGATACTTTATTTCTTTAATTTTTTAAACGCTAAGTGAATATTATTTTTAAATAATGATATTTTGCAAATATTTCTAATGGTCAAATTTTTAATATTTATTTATTTATGTTTTTAAAAATTATTTATGTTCCTACATATACATTTTAAAATATGTTGCTTTCTAGATGAGAGGGTAACTGTACTCCAACACATGTGTCACTGTCGATTATTGTTAAGGAGAAGATTTAAAATCTTTGAGACCCCTCTACTGACTGAACAAAACAAAACTAACATTCTTTGAAATTAAGGATATAGCCAAATTTATATAGTGGTTAGTTTAGTTTCCTTTTACTGGAACGCTGTTTGTGTGCGGGTTACTTCAGATTTTTATATAATATTTAAAGTGGTGATTTAAGTCTACTGTATGGGCAACATGTCATTCTTAGTATCATAACGGACCATTATTTCTGTTTAAGTGACAGCTATGGTGCACGAGGCTGTCACTTTAACCTATATATAGACAATATAGGCAAAGTAAAGATTTCATTGCAAGCAAATTATTTCAAAATAAACATTATAAATATGCTGTTAGCTATTTGTGTGAAGCGTGTAAGAATGTAAGTCTATTTAGTAATGAGAATATTTTCAGTATCTGCTTTAATTATTTGTTCTTTAAAAAAATGAATTGAATAATTAAAAGATTTAATTTTTCTTATATATTTTTTTAAATTATTTTGTTTTTTATTGAATCTTTTAACATTCAACTTAGAACTAACAATAAGCTATCGCTAATTGCAATAGTAAAAGAAAGAAAATTGATAATTAGTTGTCCTCAGTCAAAGCTGCGCCCAATTTCGTTTTCATGTCGGGCATTATTCTTTAATAGCTTTGTATAGTTCCTTTTGAGTCGCTGGTGCTTTTATGTGCTTGTAGTGGGGTTAAGGTGTTTCCTGAGTTAGACTGTGTTATTTTGTCTGTTACTGATAATCATAATGAATATTTGTATTTTTCATATACTAGAAAGCACCGA